TGTCTTAGTTTCGCTTCTTTACAAACTTTTCACTGCTTTTGCAGAGAGTGCACGCTTTCAGTTCAGTATCCACTATAAAGACTTCTGCTGCGAACTGCATGCTGCTGTGCCATGTTCTGATTCAGTTTCTTTCCACCACTAGTCGCTTCAGTGTGTGCTACAATTTCTTTTGTTACTAACAAACCATTTCTCACTTCATCACAATAACAATTCTAGTTAATGAACAACGCATAAGGAAAAGTGAGTAACGAAGGAATCGAGAATGCTAGAATCCAGAAACAGAACAGTGTCAAAAAGCAGCAAGTATTAGGAAAAGTGCATAGAATGCAGTCTGTCAATCCGTATTAGAAAAGACACCAGAGCAGGCTACACACCGGTGATTAAAAAAACGTAACTATAACGAAATTGTAAGTGTAAATATTAACAAACGTCGTTACCATCACAACAAACAGTGAAACCCGTATTGGTGGAAATATCTAGAACTGATGGGAGAATTGATGAAAGCGGAAACACTTTTATCTTTAGTAGTAGTGATGAAGACTAGCAGTAGAGATTGAGACTAGTAATAACAGAACTAACAAGTGGTAGTTAACAAATAGAACCCGTCGTTATGAGTACTTACAAGTAAAGTGAGAACCCGTTCTTCGAACACGTTATAAACCCGTGTGAGTAAACAATTGGAGCAGTATAAAACAACGAAAAATATTTACAGCTCTACACTAAATTCGCTGAGAACATCATCTAATATCTCACTATCAGACGACGTGTTAGATGAGGACGAATCCTCATCTTCAGCATCATAACTGTTGGCGTCTAAAGCCTCTTTCAGCCGAGCACAATCCTTCCTCTCTTCGCGCCTCCCTACACCAACCCTCACACAGCCGTCTTGTGACAGCACCCTGTATCTCAACAGCCCTACCTTTGACCTGAAGACAAAACAGAACTAGGTACAAGATTTCAAAATTAAGAAATATCAAAAGCTTTACTGTTTCCAGCCTATCCGTAGTTCGTCCCATCTTATTCAGGCGGTGCTTGAGATGGCTCCAACACAGCTCCATAGAGATGGCTCCAACACAGGTTGAAAGAAACAGTGAAAGCGAGGGGAGCCTTGATAGGCTCACCCCATATCCTCGCAGATCTTGTCAGCAGCGTAGCAGCGCAATGCTGCAGCGCCACCTCGGCTAGCTACGAAGTAGTCCAGCTAGAAAAGATCTCAAAGCACTCAAAAGAAGGAACTAATGTTGTTTGAAGGCGTAGACGAACCTCCTTTAGAAAGCAGCCCACTGAACCATCTATGGCTACTTCGACGCCGTGCGAGTCAAGATACTCTATAATTCACGCACTGCGGACCGTCTACTCGGGACCTGATATCAACGTTCATGATTGTGAAAGGATAACATATTTTGTCCTCACCTTCCTCTAGGAACTCTGGTATGGTAAGGAGCATTGTCCATCACTAGAGTGACATTTCGCCCCGCCGCAAAGTCCTTCATCAAGGGGACAGACGATCTCAGCCAGTCCTCGAACACTGCGTGATCCATTGCACGATGAGAGCCGTCCTGCGCAGTTTGGTGTCCACTAACGAAAACATGGGTGCAACCCAGGAATCACTCCACCGTCGCACAACGCCGTGATGACGATGCCACGCTTCCCTTTATTCTTGCCAGCAGTTTTGCCCCAGGAATATTGCCGTATTTCCTCAGCAGCTGTAAAACGTGTCAGGCTGTTGTCCACCCATCCTTTTCTCTTGACCATACCTCCGAACACCCATGTTTCGTCCATATAAACTACGCAGTCCCCTCTTACTAGGGCCTCTTCCACTTTCCTCAGGTATAAAGATCGCTTAAGGGCGAGATCGGACCGTTCAAAGATGTATCGTTGCCCTTTAAGGATCTTGTAAGTAAAGCCATCAATCTCCACACCTTATCGAGGCCAAGGTGAAATACGGACAGGCTCCTGTCATTCGCTGGCGCAGCTCCAGCTCCGGGATGGTGACGTCAATCTCTTCCTTCACCATTGAGCGC